AGCTTACAATCTAGTAGATTATTTATTATGTCCAATCAAATATTTATTTGTGGAGGAAAGGAAGAATTTTGCGATTGCCTTTAGCAATTTTCCCTTCTCACTAGGGATGCACCGATACCGACACTAATATCGGTACCAAGTATTTGGGCACGTACCCGTACTCGCCCAAATGCTCCGATGCCTAGCCCGATACCCGAACCTCCTGTATCAGGAAGCTGGGCAGAGAGTCATTACACTCTGCCCGGCTTCCTAATTGGCCGGGAAGCCGACTGCATGGTCTTGGCTTCCCGGCCAATCAGGAAACTGGACGGCGAGTCATACCCGCCCCCCGGCTTCCTGATTGGCCAGAAAACCATCTTCATGCTCCCTCGTCACCTGCTGACGAGGGAGCATGGAGACGGCTTCCCTGCTAATCGGGAAGCCGGGTGGCGAGTCTTTACACGCCGCCTAACAAAGTCCAAATCCCATTCGCACTGCCACGGTCTCAAAACCACAAGGTATATGTGGTGCCTTGGTGACCACACGGATGGCGTGCAAAACACTAATAGTAAATAAAAGTAATTCACCGGCACACACTTGAAGGGTTTTCAGAGTATTTATATGTTTATTCAATACCCAATGTCACACCGTATGACAGTATGTGACATTGGTTATTGAATAAACATATCAATACTTTAAAAACCCTTCAAGTGTGTGCCGGTGAATTACTTTTATTTACACGCCGCCTGGCTTCCTAAATGGGACTTCCGATATCGGTATTCGGTATCGGCGAGTAGACCCAAAAAAATATCGGTACTCGATACCAAAAAAACGGTATCGGTGCATCCCTACTTCTCACCATACCCTATGTGGTTATACCGCCATAAATTAAAATTAATTTTACTGTATGCTCTGTGAATGAGAACCTGCAACAAATATCATGTAGGTGTTTTCGCAATCTGGCTGCAAAAATGGAAATGCACTTGAGGTGCTTCCTCTGTATGTCAGACAGAGCAATTGATGTCCATGCTGCTGACTTTTGCAAGGAAGTCAATCATAGGACAAAAGAATATAATGATTTTAAATCTATATATAAAGCAGAATCTCTGGCCTGCCTCAAAGTGGACATTTCACTGCCTATTTACTTTTGCCTCTTGATCACCCACCTCCTTAGTTACAGATGCTTTTCCCTGCTCGCCCAACACCAAGATTAGGGATGCTCTAAAAAGATACATACAGTGCACTCTGGTATCCTCCTCCGAATAGAATGTTACCAAGATGTTACATCAGCCACCTGACCTCCTTCCACAAATGCGTTTCACCCTTTATTGGGATTAGTCACCCAGTTGAGGCTGAAACACGTTACAGGAAGGAGGTCGGGCTGGTGGAGTTATTTCTTGGAAATAAACTATTAAGTTAATTGAATTTGCACTTTATCTATCTTTTTGTAGAATACTGGTTGGTGTGGATGGACTTGTACGGAGATGGCACCCGGAGGTGGAAAGACAATATTGCACATACCTAGAGCTGAGTGTTATCGGATTAGTTGTGACCCAGAGTAGAGAGTCATGATGGTCTTTGTCAAAGCTAGGGACCTTCCCCATGCTCCCAAGCGACAGTGTTCAGCTGAAAAGCTACCAAGCACCGCATCATTGGACAAATGGAAAATAAGCCCATGGGACTACTTGGTAATTCATAGGGCTCCAGCAGGCAAATGTGAAGGCAGGGGGTGTGGGAAAAGTAAGAATTTACAACTGAGGGGCTCACAAAGTTCCTACCTAAGAGCAGACACCACAAGATACCTATTATTACCGTAACTAGCCATAAAACATATTTGTGCCCCTCTCTGATAGTTTCTTTTTGTTACTGAGACCTAACCTGACTTCATGGCCACGACCTGCCAATTGCCATTCCATTGTCCATTTAGTCTTATTGGATGGTGGACTGGCCATGGGCAGGGCTTTGCTCAGGGAACGTCAGTCTTTGGTAACTAAACTAAATTAGACAGAGACACAAAGATTGTTTTCTGGCCAATTAAAACATAGCTAAACTTTTGTTCTTGGGTTTAGTTATGCTTTCAGGTAATAGCAGGCATTACTTTTAAAAATTTGCATTGGAGTACGTGTTCATTTTAAGATGGAAGCAAGGCATACATAATGAGAACATTTGTCTGACTTTATGTCCACGAATAATTAAAAACTATATTCATAATAAGGTTTGTAAAATATTAAAATATGTTGATAAGGTCTTTCACATTAAGAAGATCACAGTTATAGATGTCTAAAAAAAACCTTCAAAAACACTAGACATTTCCTCCAAAATATAATATATAAGTGTTCACTTTTACTATGGTGAAGATTGTATTAACAAAACTCCTGGTCCCCACTGTTTCTGTACACATATTGATGGAGGATTAGGCAACAGCAGTCTAAAAAAAATACACAGAAACAATGATTAAAATAGATATACGGTATGCGCAGGGCCCTCCCTATAATAAGGCTATTGCCTCAGGCAGCATCCCTTTGAGTCACGTGGGGGTCAGCAGGCAGAGCGCCATGACCGCGCTGCTGCATAATGTTTGCAGTGTGCCTGCCACCCCCTTTCTGGCCAGAGCATCCTAGGTTGTGAAGAGCTGGGTGGGGAGATGTGTAAGGGCTTCGTATCTCCCTGCCCAGCTCTTAGCAACCTGGGATGCTCTGGCCGGCATCCTACCCAGCTCCTGGCAACCAGTGACATCACTGGTTGCCATGAGTTTGGCAGGATGCCAGCCAGAGCGACCCAACCAAGTTGCTAAGAGCTGGGCATGGAGATACGGAACCTTACACATCTCCCCGGTCAGCTCTTATTGGCATCACTCTTGTAATATCTGTGAGACTGTGGATAAATTCAGGAACAGAACTGAAAAAGAAGGGGGTAAAGAATCTACTGAGAGGAGCCATAAGCCTATCTGCTGCTCACAGGGCCATTGATAGGGTAGTACAGGCAGTACCCACATACTGGGCCCAGGCCCCATTCGGGAAGCAGGGGCATCTAGGCCTGGCACGGGCTACCTGTGAGTGGCCACAGTGCAGTGTCTATTACTTGGTTCAGGGAATCCTGCCCTCTGGGTTAAGACCCACCCAGCTCACTCTTCCATAGATTGGAATGATGAAGCTCGGGCTATGAAGCTTTTGCTTAGTCTGGGCAGCTGGGCAAGGTTCCGGGGAGGAGCACATTAAACTACTGCAAAGCCAATGTGAACTGACAGGTGGGAGGGGGGCAGAAGAGGGGAGATCCACATCACTGTCAAAATGTATCCAATAGAAATGTTGGGGGGGGGGGGGGGGACCTGTCAGGTAGGCTGTATGGGGCCTCATGATTTCTAATGGCGACCCTGGCTGCTCATGTAACACACAGCTATCTTGTCCTTCCTTGCAACTTTTTGATTGGTGGGCTGCGAATCCTGATGACTGCTCTGCATACAAAGCGAATAACATGCTTCCTCTATTCATACGTTGGTCCTTATGTCTGACAGCACTGGGTCTATAGGAGGTTCCCACCCACTTTATTCATGTCCAAGGAGGTTACTCTACGGCTGTATTAATGCTTACAGAGCCAGATTAAGATTAGTGAGAGCCCTAGTCAAAGTCCCCCTTTTACCACTCAGATCTGCAAAGCAAATCCGTATATACTGGCTCCAGTCATTCATATGTGGGCAACCATTTGGAATTCCCTCTACTGAAATCAGACTGGAACAAGAGGAATATCAATTTGGCTGCCAGGAGTTAATGCACTTACAAAATTGTAATTCTTTACTATGGCTGCTTCCACTAATTAACAGTCATTACATAGTTACATAGTTACATAGTTACATAGTATTTGAGGTTGTAGAAGGATTCTTCAAGCTGATGTGATATGAAGATACTCGCTGCAATGTTACTGATCACATTACTGCAAATGAGGAGTCTCTAAGAGCTTGTGCACTTGGCCGTATGAAAATATAGCAACTAGGCAACCTTGATATTCCACAGACTGAAGAGCGGGATGAACTAGGGAGTGAATACCTCTGACATTAAGGGGTCCATTTATAAACAATTCACAGAGCCATTCACCCTGTGAATCTCTGCGAAAGTTTGTTCCATGCAAATACATTCTTGGTATATTTTCTTTTCAGATTGAATGTCATGAAATGTAATACCTCATTATGGCCACTAGTTGGAGCTGAGGAGCAAAGGAAATAATTATTTATTTCCTATGCTGCTCAGCTCCAGCTAGTGGGCATAATGCAGCATTACAACCAGTATTACAACCTGATAAGAAAATATACTAATAATGTTAATTTTTGCCTCTATTTGCAGAAAACAAACATTCACAGAGATTCACAGGGTGAATGGCTCTTAGACGAGTTTATAAATAGACCCCTAAGACTGATAGGTGCGGGACTTCAGCTTCTGATTCATGCATTCATGGGCATTTACACTTTTAGTTGGAGATTTTGTGCAATGTGTGGTGAAAGATCCAGAATAGAGATGTTTCCACAGTGCATGTACATGCGGTTTTTCTGCATTTACTATTCCTTTTTATGAGCCTACAAAACAAAAATCATGCTACATGTCCATTTTTAAAACAAATGCACAAATCTGCAGCACATAGGTGTATGCTAGCCATATAGAAATGAATGGGATTTCTTCTGGAAATGTATTTCCATTCAATGAAACCATTAAAGTGACATTAAACTTTCCTTTTTTTTCCTTTGTATATAAGGGAGGCACAGATCATGTCCAGATCTGTTCTTATATTTAAATTTTTTTTTACAGTTCTAATTTTCTAGTGGGTCCCCGCATCACCGTCCTGGCTGCCACCTGCATGGATACCACCAGTGGCTAAGCGACTGCTATGGAGGCGCCCGTACGTGCGTGTTCTTGCAGTGGCTGTGTGCGTCCATAGACACACACAACCCTGCGGCAGGCCACACCCCTCCTCTCCGCCCAACAGGTTGATTGATGGCACAAGGAGGCTATGGCTCCTCTGCCCTCAACCTCCTACCCCATAACCAGGTAGTTCGGGATGGAGGATCGCTGCGGGGACCGGCAATGGTGACATGTGGCACTGACAGGTAAGTGTGAGGGGGACGAGGGAGTCCGAAAGATACTGGACATTTTTACCTTAATGCAGAGTATGCATTAAGGTAAAACATGCCCAGACCTTAATACTACTTTAAGTGTGACCAGCCCCTTATACTGCAGGGATGACCATTATTAAGAGTACCATACCTCGACCTTCCTCTTCCTCAAGCAGGTACCGCAGATCACCCCGATGAGTCCATTGATGACTTGTATGAGACAAAGGATGGCCTCAATGGCTGAGATTCCCAGCGTAATGGAGAAGAGGACAACATTCCACAGCACAACATTCTCTGGAGTCTTGCAGATGCTCCACCTGTCCTGATTAAACAGGTAATTCTCTCTGTGGATCAGAGACACGTTCATTCAATGAGTATGCCAGCCAACAAATCAGGTCAACCAGTAAACAGCTAATCCTACAAAGAAAACATTGCAATGTACAATTTATTTTATAGTAGATAAGTACATTGTGTTGGAAATGCAACAGCACTGATTGTATTGCTGACATTCAGAGATGTAATATTGTCTTTTGAGCTGTAGATGGTGCTGTGGTGCAGTGTTGGTCTCTATGCTTATGTATGTTTATTCATGATATATATACATATTCTGTATGCTTTGTAGCACTCACCTACTAAGGAGCCGCTAGAATAACCCGGGTCATCACTAGTTGTCTAGGGGTTTTGGTCTTCAGCTGCTCCATTAGCATTTAACCGCCCTCTTCTAGTGCCCACAAAGCTGATATCCACTCCAGTAATGCAATGCTGAATAACTTTAATTCATATCTTCATAATGGGGAGAGAGGGTATAGGGATCCTAGATGTCCAGGGTGTAACAGACTCCAGACTGAGCAGGGATGAGCACAGATCCAGATCACAGATCAGCAGGAAAGATACCAAACTTGTTCCTGAGGTCCTCTAGATTCTGGGTACCTTCAGTAGCCATCCACTTTCCTGGATCACTTCTCTCTTCTCTGACAACAACACAGGCCTCCTCCATAATTGAGGCCCAGGGAAACACTTCCCACACTCCAGCCTCTGCTCACCCACAGGCCTCAGGCCTAGACAGGGGGCGGCTGTCCTCATAAGCAAGTAAAACTTAATTCAGCTTTCCTCAAGATCTCAGTGCTTCATCTAAACACACAACCAACACTTTGCTCCTTTTCTCTACTCAAAATCAACTCCAGGGACATAAGGAAATACCTGGTACTTGGAGCATATGACTCACTGTATGTGACACCACTGCGTCAATTAGCATTGCCACTCAGGGAGTCTATAGCCCTGTGACAGCATTTATTCACTCTTGGAGGGTGAATGGAGCAGGGGGGCTCAATTCACCCTCTGAGGCTCGGTCCACCCTGTTTGGTCAATTAATGGATGGTAAGGCAAAAAGTTAAGTATATGCTGCTCAGTTTTTGATAGCTGTTGGGAGAGTTTCTTATGTCTCTCTATAGGTGACATTTATTTTTGTGGTTGAGTCCTTGGGTCTGCATCTGCACACCTACTGTGGCCATTATAAGGGGCTCCCAACATCCTGGTTTGATTTCTGATTTCTATTTCTATTCATATGATGGAGAATGCAACAGGAGAGAGGTGGACGGGAACACCCTAAACCCCCTTGGGGGTCAGGAATACCTGCAGGGGCGGACTGGGCCGGGGGGCAAGGTGGCAATTGCTCCCCGGGCCTCTCTGATGCCACCGCGAACGGCCCCTTGACCCCCGGCCGCTGCCACCTGCACCCGGCCACCCGCCCTCCGCATCCGACGCGGCTCTCAGAGCGGGAGGGGGTCAAGTTGCCGCACCATGGGCCTCTGGGTTGTACTTGCCCCCTGGGCTAAAAGTTGCCAGTCAGCCCCTGAATACCTGAATGTTGAAAAAGTTTAATTAAGTATTTTGTGTTGACTAGCTGGACAGCTATAAATTGATCCCATCAGCTGCCATCTCTTATGCTGTTCAGAAGCAGGGTTGGAAAGTATGGCATATAGATCATATATAGCTGACCTGTAAGTAGAAACAGGGCTGTAGCTACCATGGGGCGAGTGAGGCACTCGCCTCAGGCGCAGCTGAGAGGGGGCGTGGCCAGGGCCAGCCTGGCTGCTCCCCATGGCACCTGTTGCCATGGCCAGCACAGGGCGCCATTGGCAACAGGGGCGCAAGACGTCCAACACAACTTCTCCTCGCATTCCCCGCTGCATGGGCAGAGGACTCTGTGTCCTCAATCTACTAAATGAACAGAAATTAAAAATGTTTTTTCATCACATCACATCACATGACGCCGTGCGTGCGTGGCATAGGGGGGCACAATTTTCTGTTCTTGCCTCGGGCACAAAAGGAGCTAGCTATGGCTCTGAGTAGAAAATCACTTTTAGGCAGATTAACCCTTTAAAAGCTATTACAGAACTCTGCCCCAGCAATAAACTTGTGTCCGCTGTATTACTTACTCATCAGTGTCATTCCTGAAGGGGTATGTGTATTCTCCATCTCCTGTGTCACAACGAGGACCATGAATCAAACCCATCGCTGAGATTATCACACAGTACACCGCTCCCACTGTGCCCAGTGCGGACAGAATGACAGACAGGAACATCTGACAAACCACAAACACAAGACCTATGAGCGCTGCAGTAATACTCTTTGTCAACATTCTCTTTGTCTTTACTTATTGTATTCTTTTATATAGAGCCAGCAACATTTGCAGCTCTCTACAGAACTATTACCATCAGCCCACAGTGTTCCATAACATCTATGTGATGTCCTACACCAAAAATAGAACAGGTTCTGTAAAAACTTCCTGGGAACCTTGTACTTAGCTTACCGCTTACAGTCACTTGTTTGTGCGTAAGATGGCATGAAATCACTACAGAGATCTAGGTTAATATTTGGCCAGAGGATAAGTCAACCATAACGTTTTTGGATTGTGTGAAAAAGCCAGAGCATAAAAAACCCCACACAAACATAAGTAGAACATACAGTACAGACTCCACGCCAATGATGTCATAGTGCATTGAACTGGAAATTAACTTCTCACGGTGTCATTTGGCTGGAGTAACGGCATATCTTTTTTTAGCAGGTTCTTAAAAGATTTTGATAAGCTCACAAGAGAAAAAGAGAGAGCTCTACCTCTTTCCTCCAATGCGGTTCCATGGAACACTGGTGCACAACCAAGGCTTCCACCAGCCGTTTGTCATAAACAGTAAAAAAAAATGTTTTGCACCAGTTCTTGATCCAATAAAGATCTAAAGCCATAAAATCAGACATGGCAGTCCCAATTAAGCATTTCAGCCAAAAGAGGCCTTATTCATAGCTCTGATAAGGCCTCTATTGGCTGAAACATGTTAGCGTGACTGCTATTTCTGGTCTTCAATAAATAAAGACTATTTTTACTGGATCCAGAACCATGTGCAGATACTTTTTCCACTTAAAGAAAAACATAAAGACGTTTTTTTCCAAATTAACCCTTGCAGTGAGGCTATCCCTGTACTGCAAGGGATAAGTGCTCCTTTTGGTCTAGGGGCAAAAATAAAGAAGATATATTCACCCGTGACATCAGGGAAGAAAAATCTTGGACATTCAGTATGTTCAGGTAGGCAGCTGATCTCATTTTGTGGGCACATAACATTGCTGAACCGAGACCTATTTTCCAATGGAAGGCTCTTACCTATCTGCTTACCTAAATCCAGGTGGTGACTTTTTTTGGACAGGCAGTGTATATGCATCTTATTATCCAGTAATGTCATCTATCATAGTGATCAACCAATAAAAGAAGGAGTGGGAGGTGGCAATGAGTTGGCTAGTGTAAGGGACACTATAGTACAGACCATGTTCTGAATTCCTCATTTTCAACAAGACTGGATCTGAACTCAAAAATTTGCTATGTTAAAGGAACATTTAGCAATGTCAATTGTGCCAAGGCAGAAGCTAGAAAAATATACCCTTTGTCTTGAATTTTTCCTGAAAAATAGCAGAGCACTTCCTGGTGTAAGGGGGGTTAGACACTCCTTTGTAGCCTCATAGCTTATAACTACAGTGTGTGATTGGAGGCTTGAGATTCAGCGATGACACTACTGTGCTGCGCACTGTTCTCTTTGCTGAATGCTTTGTTGCTAGGAAGCAAAGCCCTGCTTCTATACAGAGGCACAGTGCAGAATAAAGCATAGTAAGCCAATAATGGGGAAATGTTCAGTTGCAGGAGGACCACAGGCAATACTAGTGACTAGTTCTTTGTGCTCACCCTGCCTTTTCTAGCTTTCAGAGTTCGGTTCCCTTTTAAACCATTTTTATTTGCTGTGGTAGTTTATTTGGTCTTTGGCACAGTTTGAGTTCTGGCAGATTTGTATTCATGGTTTTGGCAGTGCTATTTTATCCACCTTAACTTCTGCTCTCTCCTTCTCATTTTGCCTTCAGACAATGAAGCTGGCTACTATGGTGGAATTAATTATAGCTGGTGAGGACAAATGCTCCAACACTAAATCTCTAAAGCATCCTCAGATATCTCTAAGAGTGTATGTTCATGGATCTTGATGCAAGAACTCGGATCTTCTTTCAATTCAGACAGGGATTATCCCTACTGTGTTCCAGTCAGTAGATCTAAAAGACTTAGGGGGCTATTCACAGAGGAGGAGAAGGATCCAGCCATAGCTTTGGCTGATCCTTCGGCTCTCTTCGGGCACCGGAGCCCTTCGGTTGAGTTGAACCGAGGGGCTGCTGTACGGGCTATTCACTATAACCCGTACAGCAGCCGAAGGCGGTCGAGCAGCTCAGCCGAGCCGAAGGCATCTGGCTTGTCTCGACTGAGCCGAAGTGACAGCCGAAGTGGGGCGAACGGCCGGCCAAAGGCTGGCCTTTCGTCCCGTAAATAAATGACAGCTGTGTGGAGCCAGCCGTGATCTCACGGCTGGCTCCGCCCAGTTGTAATGACAGATCAAGGCCCCAAATGAACTGGGAACACTAAACTGTCATTAAACAATAACAACTGGGCGGCGCAAGCTGTGACGTCACGGCCAGCTCCGCCCAGTTGTAATGCATTGGCCAGGACCTTCTAGAAGACTCTAGCAGGTGCCGGCCAATAGGAAACTGTTGGGCGGAGCTAGCTGTCACTGCTAGCTCCGCCGAATAGTTTTTGTTAAATCTATTTATTTATTTTAAAATTTTACTATTTGTTTACATTTTTTCAACGTTTTTTTTATTTGACTCTTTTCATCCATTTACTATTCTGCTCGGTACCACAGAGAATAGAATAGGGGCGAACGGCAGCGAGTGAACTGCCGGAGCTTCGGCTCAGCCGATCCAGATGTTGAGTCGAAGTCCTTCTGCATTTTGGCTCAGCCGAACCTGCAGAGCATGTTCGGCTGACCGAAGTGCAGCTGATGTGCGGATGAAATCATGTATATATAAAATTTTATATAAATATCACATATTTTTTTTAAATCTTCTTGTAAGCTTAATGATTAGAATTTCTTACCCCACATCTGTTAGCGCAGCATCCTTCTCCTCCAGCACCAATCATCATAAATGCAGGTAGGAAGACCTGAACAACAGAGCAGCACATATTGTCAAAATGCAAATACTTTGTGTTGCCTACATACCATTATTATTCCTATAATTGATTTCTGTATGCCCAGGAGCCCAAGTGTACACTATCCAGGGACCTCATGTTCTTCCCATTTTGGAGACCAGTTCACTGTGAGATCCTTTAGGCTGGGTTCACACATAGGCGTATCTAATATGCGCGTTTGTCGCGCGTATCTACCGCGATTCGCCCATAGGCCATCATTGGTTTTCATATGTTGAGCGTTTTACAGAGTGTAGGAACTTGCTGTAAAACGCCCAGGTGTGAACCAGGCCTTACTGGCCAGTAGTTTGCTGGTGGGCCGGTAATATGTTGTGCCTATAGGCTTGTAAAACAACCTTGCTCTACTCCCCTTTCTTGTGCCTCAATGTTCTCCTGAAATAAAAACTCAGGTTATCGCTTTAATTTATTAGTAACCTCTGTTACAGGTAGTACTTGTATCCAGCTGTATAATAAAACAAATGAATAGATGCTCAGCCTTGGGATGGAGGTTGCTTTAATTTGTTTCATTAGCCAGCTTTGTACCAGTGCTCCCTGTTACATTACGCTGCATTTTAGGGACATAGAGAGGTGATATCAGTCAGATCAGAGATGGATGGAGAGGCACTGTGACATGTAACAGGAGTGCAGGTAATGATGATTTTCCATGTATTCCCTGTGTTTGATCATCTGATATGTGATTACTTGACAGAGCAGAACGGTTGCATGGGGAAGCACTGTTCCTTGCGTTCTGCTTATGTATTACAGTACCTCTATGCTTATGCCTTCTGCATAATTTCTCACTGCACATGTGGACATAACATTTGTTCCCACATCCTTTGCATTGTAAAATCCAATTTGAAGTATATGGGGCTTCAGTGTTGCTTGATCTGCTGGAGCCTTTAAATATGTTTTTGAAGTGATAGCCAGCACTCCCATTAGGATATATGTTTAACAATGCCAGGCTGGAGCTGAAGGGTACTTTGAGGGCTTGTTTACATCACTGCATTGCTGTAATGTGTGGTAAAACAAATGCGTTACTGCAATGCACCAAGCACGCTGCGATCCATTGTGATGCCATTTATTTTGAATGGCATCACAACGCATCTACAAAACACACTGGCAGCACAGTGCACCACAACACACAATGAGATAAAAAGATGAGCTAAAAAAAATAACACAGTAGGAGCAACTTTTACTGCATTGGAGTCCAAACAAAATGAATGGGCTGCAGTAACGTAAATGCATTACCACAATACTACTACTACTATAATATACTACTTGATAGCTTTGCTTGCTGTACATACTGCTCTATAGACAAAGGTTCATAGGCTGATGCCCGTGTGAACAAGGCCAAAAGATGACTGAATGCAAAAGCAGATGGGCAAGGAAACAGTAATAAATACCTTCTATCTGACACCCAATATATTTCATACATTATAGTCTTGGTGATGTAAAGTCAATTATATACGCTCTTTTCAAAAAGCACAATAGTCTACTTCCCAATAAAATATGATTTTGTTCTTACCAATAATCCAGCTCCAACGATTCCATGGAAAAACCAAACATAGTCTGTTATCTGATCTACCTCTAAAATATTCCCATTTGGAAAGTACAAGAGAAGGTTGGCAACGATGGCAAGGATTCCCAATGGGAAGAGGAGTTTCCCAATTATCTTTGCACATTTCCCAGTGCACATTGTCTGGTAAGCCTGAAACAATAAACGACAGTGAGAATTCATCAGTTCTGTCTGAAATTCTAATGGCTTTACTATCTTCTTTATCTTCAAGGCCTGCTCCACGAAATCACATCTTTCACTAGCGAGGGTTACCAAGCTGGAGACAGTTGTATATGCATTTACAGGACCCTTTTTAAACATCCTGCTGCCCTTAGGCTTACAAATTCCACCTCTTGAAACATTCAATTACTTAGTAAAAACGAATACTGGAATGAGGTATTGAAGGAAGCATCTTATTTTATGACTGTCCAGGATAACAAATAAGCTACTTGTAAAAACTGCTCCAGTCCAATGAGCAATGAGAAGAGGCAGAGGTTGGTGACTCAGAAGGGTTTGAAGCTCAATCATTGTGCTAGCCAGGCACATAACATTTCCAGCATTTGTCAGAGGCCATCAATCTCTTTTTATATATTTTATATA